CTAGAAAAAGTACAGAGGGCAACTTCCCGTGCAATTCAAGAACTCAGAGGTTTGTCATACAAAGAGCGGCTTGAAAAGCTGTACCTCTTCACTCTGATCTACCGCAGACTAAGTGGAGACCTAGTTTTGATGTACAGAATTCTGAGAAATGATTCTGTAACTTATTCTCTCTTTTTCTTCCCACTAGATCGGGACATCTCAGAGGACATAACAGGCGAGTAGAAAAGTCAAGAACGAACAAAATACCCTTGACTCATTCAAGGGAAGACTAGACACTCACAGAAGCATACTAGAAAAAGAATAACATATGCCGTAGGCCTTCTATCTTCATTACACATTAATCTCGAGTGTAGTAGTACTACTACCAAATAATAAGTATCTAAGCCGTCAGAGTTGTTGATCTTTTTAGCCATGAATAAACACAAATGTCTTATTTGGAGTTATCAATTTCCAATAGAAATGTCTTCCGTATAATTCCAATTACATTACTGCTTTTTAAGCAAAAAGCTAAACCGGTTCGCTTCATTAAAATACATACAGTAATCATTTGAAGCCGTCATTTAATATGGTACATTGGAACTGTTGCCTTTCAGAATGTTTAAGAAATAATTTAGTCACACAACCCATCAGTTTCAGTTTCAGTTTCAGTTTGGAAAGGACAGGAGGCTTGGTGGCCTGTGTTAGTCCTGGCAATGATGGTCTCTCAGCTGATCCAACTTTCTTTTGAAGGAGTCGACGGATGGAGCCTCAACCACGTGCTGAGGTAATGAATTCCACTCGTTGATTATTCGATGGGAAAGTCGGTAGTCAGCTGACAAGTAATTCGTTCTGGGCTTGTGAACTTTTTTGGAGTGTCCTCGTAGATTTTCTGTTTTGGAAGACAAGAAAAATGAGGGCATATCAGGTGCAAATTTGTCATTTAGCAATTTGAAAACTATAATCAAGTCACCTCTGATTCTTCTATATGACAGCGGGAATAGGTTTAGCTTGGTCAGTCTAGTACCATACGGGAGCTTCGCTATTCCGGGAATCAGCCTAGTTGCTGTTCTCTGAACTCTTTCCAAGAGTTCACTGTCTTTTTTTAGGCAGGGGTTAGCTGCTTGTATACAGTACTCAAGTTTAGGGCGTACGAACACTGTATACAAAGTCAGAAACGTTTTAGCGTCAAGATGCCTAAAAGCCCTGCGTATGGACCATAAAGTCCTAAAACCTTTGGCGGCTATTGCACGGCAGTGTGCAGTAGTCTTTAAGTCTTGACTAACGATGACGCCTAAGTCATTGTGTGCCTGAACAATAGGTAACTCAGTGTTATTCATCGTGTATGTATCTGTACCCTGATGGCCAATATGCATCACAATACACTTGGAAGTGTTTATCGGCAATTGCCAGGTTTGGGACCATTCAGATAATCTCTCCAGGTCATTTTGAAGTTCTAAGCTATCGCTCTTGCTTTGTATCGCTCTCCATATCTTGACATCATCAGCATAGAGTAAGACCGATGACGATAGTAGACGAGGGAGATCATTTACGTACAGGAGGAATAACACTGGCCCCAAAACTGTACCTTGGGGGACTCCACTAAGCACAGTTTCCCAGCTAGACAACTTGGAGTTCACCCTTACTCTTTGTTGACGCCCAACTAGGAAGTCTTTTATCCACATCAATAGATTGCCTCCAATCCCGACATTCCTTAGCTTATATAACAGCCGGTTATGCGGAACTTTGTCAAAGGCTTTGCTGAAATCGATGTAAGCTACGTCTATAGGTAATTTTTGGTCCTTAAGAGCGCACCAGCTTTCACGAGCGACTAATAAGTTTGTGAGACAAGAGTAACCTGTTCTAAAACCATGCTGCTTTTCGGAGAGGATCCGGTTTTCATCGAGATACTTTAACAGTTCCTTCCGAATAATCTTTTCTAAGATTTTAACAACCACACTAGTTAGGCTAATTGGTCGGTAATTCTCGGGCTTATGTTTTGTACCTGTTTTGAAGACTGGACTTACTATGGCGTTCTTCCAGTCTTTTGGTAGACGACCCTGGGTTACGGATAGATTAAAACATACACTTAAAGGGTTCGCCACAAAGTTAGCTAATTCCTTTAGTAACCTAGGATGCAGTTCATCGGGTCCAGTGGATTTACCTATGTCAAGCTTAACTAGCAGACCAAAAACATCGAGTTCTTCAATGGTTACGCTGTCCAGTGCTTGTGTGGGTGGATTTTCATGGACTGGTGAGAAGGGTGTTTCTATGGTGTATACATCGCTAAAGTATTTAGAGAATACTTGAGCTTTGCCGAAGTCATCCTCCACTAGTGATGTGGCAGTACTGTCTCCCCATAATGAGGGAACATTTCTTCTCCTTTTTGTCCTTTGGTTTATATACGAATACAAGCGTTTAGGGCATTCTATGGATTCCCTAACGATTTTCTCTTCGTACAGCTTTCTGGCCTTACGGAGGGTCGAGGCACAGGTATTTCGAGCCTTTTGATACTGAGATTTCGCCTCGTCAGTCCCCAGTAACCTAAATCTGTCCCACATTTTCCTTCTTTTACGGAGAAGGATGCGAACCTCCCTACTGAACCACGGTGGGGAGTTTCTCGGCCTCTTAGGTGTAGTCCAAGGGATGTGGGGGGCGGTAACTTTTAAGTATAGATTCCGGAATACGTCCCAAGCCGTTTCGATTGATGACTCTGGATCTAATTTCCAATCTACTAATGATGCTGATTTCATGATGTCTGCTATGTTTGCTTTCCAGACGTTAGGTCTGGATTGAGCTGAAGCGTACTCATGATCGACAGTTATATGGAAGTCAAAGCTTAAAACTGCATGATCACTTTTGCCTAGGGGTGGCATGTAATCCAGGTTTGCAACATCATCCTCATAATGAGTCAATATAAGATCTAGTAAGGATGATGCAGAACCCGGGTCGTACCTAGTTGCTTCCTTCACGTGTTGCACTAGAGCACAAGTGATTACCGCATCAACTAGTTCCTGTTCGAAGGAGTTTGCTGACGATTCAGTCCGAAGATTTCCCCAGTCCACCATGGGTGCATTGAAGTCCCCTAAGATTAGACATCGATCACTTCGTGATAAAGTGTTGAGACTGCTTAGCAGGACCTCGTTTGCCTCACAGCTTGGACTGCGATAGATCAAACTAAGTAGTAACTCTTGTCCCCTGCATTTCAAGCGGCAGCAAACTAATTCATACGTCCCACTCTCATGGGATACACTGTCGATAATGGTGAATGGAATAGCATTCCTAATGAATAGAGCTACTCCCCCTCCTTTACGCGTTTGTATTCTATCGGCCCTTACCAATGTAAAACCCTCGAAATCAAGTTCCCTACTATCTATAGACGGCGTCAGCCATGTTTCTGTGACTGCGATTATGTCTGGCCTAGTTGAGTCAATCTGTACACCTAGTTCCGGTAGCTTATTTAGTAAGCTACGGGCGTTGGTATAACAGATCCGAAGCCTATTTAGGTGGCCTCGTGCTTCACCCAGAGTGGCTTCGGCATCATCCTCTGTCGAAGCCTCACAACCCGAAAATTTACAATTTTCAGGTCTTTTTCGCCAGCGTCTAATCTGAGCTGTAGTTCCTTTTCGGCTTCCCGTCTTTTAACACGGTCCGCCAACGGTAAGTCCTTACGGAGAAAAACTCCTGAACCCTTTAATTTGTGTCCATTTTCTAAGATTAAGTCGCGTTCGTTTGAGGATTTGAAAACGACTTTGAGTAGTCTAGACTGATTTGGTTTTAGATGCGCTAGATTTCCTAATCTATACACCTTTAGCAAGGTGACTCCGGGGATGTTTTTGGGCATAACTTGGTTGAGTAGTTGTTTTATCAACACAATGTCATGCTCAAAACGAGCTTTCGGTTCTAAGTTGTCACTCTCCTTGACTCTATGGAGAATGACTGATCTGTCGCTGTGATCAGACCTCGGCTTGTCGACCCTTTTGGTGGGGGTATGACTTCCTTTTACGTCATTTTGGCGTTTTTTTTCTTACGACCCGTACCCAATCGCCAACGTTCTTTGGAGTGGTAACCACATTCGCGTCAGGCGTACTGTGGGATTCCGGAAGAGTCAGGACGACTTGGGAGATCGGGTCATCTTTCGCGCTGGAAACCGATCGAGCCTTGCGGTTTCGGCTTCCTGAAGTTCCCTTCTGGGTACCATTTTTGATACGAGGGACAGAAGAGACTTTTTTGCGCGAGTTTCTGGTTGTAACAGTCCTCTTTGGAGGATGTTCTTCCTCCTTAGTAGGGTGTGGGTCGGCAGTTTTTGGACTCACTTGGGCCTGCCTTGTGTCAATCTGCGTGTCGACAGATTGAGTTCTGACTGATGTATCCCGACCGCGCTTGCCGAGACACTTTTTTGCGGCATTTACTATTGAAATGGCCTCGGTTAGCAGGCTATTTGCATCCAAACAGCACTGTTGACATAGCCATACACATCCATTTTTACTAAACCGCTTGAAAGCTGCAGGTGTTAGATTCGTGCAAACATCGTGGTACCAACCTTTGCACTCATCGCACTGCATGCCGCTATCAACAGGATATCGACATCCTGGGCGGTGACAAATACTTTTGTTGCATCTTCCAGTCATTTTAAGATGCGAAAGTGAGTGTTGACTATAAGTAGAAAAAAAAAACTATAAACAGTTAGGACCAAAGTACTAACAGACACAATGGAAAAAAAGGTACTCTGGAGTACCGACGATAAAACTATTTAGGATACCAAAGATGATACTCTAATAGAATACTTTAACTGAAAGAAATTCAATCAAAGTATAAAAACAGTAGTCTTGATACGTTAATAACGATCAAAACAATAGAATTTACTCAACGAGGAAAAATACCACTGTCCTTTTTAAATAGCGCGCGTAACCCATGACACCAACTTGGATATATGATGCCATAATGATTAAAAGTGAAACCACCATGTGGAAAATATGTATTACTCCATAGAAAATAATAATATACTTCTTTTTCATTACCTTCAATTGCCTTCATGTCAACTGTACAGTGTGTTTAAGTAGTCCCCGAACTAACAATATAACGGTTATCTGTTAAAAGCGGGAGTTCTGAGTTTCCTGTGTTGGCCTTTGCTCCAGTGGTATGTTCGCATTGACATCGGTAGATTCCAAACATCCCTTCTTGTTCACCTGCATCTGAATTTACGATTCAGTGCTAATTCCTAGAGACCAACTTTTTAATCCTGTCATGATATTAGATTTAACTGACTTCATTTGGATAAATCCAAGTGAACAATGACAACACATTTCTGTTGACTTGATTAGCGTCAACTTTATTAGGATGATGTGAATCGAAACGTAAACACTGTAGAGTTACCTAGGGGTGTAATTAAACTTTCATGCATCCTAAGCACTGAAAATCCTATAAAAAGCCAATCCAAAAGGTTAATTATCATGTAACTTAGACTACACAATAATTTATTGTAAATATAAAGTTCGGAATAAGAAACTGTAAAAAGTTTAAAATCACATTTTGAGTTAAATTGCTAACCATCTAATAACATCCAAATTGCTTAGTGTAATTTGATAATGTCCTAATAGTTTTGTAATGTATCAGAAAGTCAGAAGTATTGGATTCTAGTAGCAAAGTCCAACTTCTCGGTCTGTTACTGCTGTTTCTATCAGGGGGATACAATTGAATTCTAATCACCCCTCAATGATCATAATGACAATTCCATTCTAACGCCTTCGTGATTGAAGGGACTTATTAACCAGGGAAACTGAAGTCTTTCATATAGCTCATGTTGACTACTAGGAAGTTCATTTACTAGGGTCTTCTTTTTATCTTACTACTGGATTTCATTTCCCATAGTTAGATCATAGCGACAGTCCGTTATTCATAATGAGTACGTTTCAGTCCCACTAACTTATTCCTTTCCTGTTTACGCGTAAACTTAAAGTCGCGCACCTACGGGCTTCTAGGTACAAAATATTCAAGTTGTTAAACGAACTCTTACGTTATGGGGCCATCTAACCTTGTTACTACCGTTTACACTTCCTATTTGCGTGCCCAAACCAACTACTTGAGTGAGAAAACCAAGTTACTAAGATGCTATCACTGTTTAGATCCAAATCGAATATATGTGGACAACTTATTCATAAATATCTGCCTCTTAGAAAAGCAAGCCACTTTTTTAACCTATCAACTGTCTCATGAAGTTAAGTCATGTCTTGACCAGCAGTGTGAACCGTCAGCATCTCTCACTTATCATTTGATCTGTATTTGTTTGACTCAACGTACCAGAAATACCATTGCTTCATATCGTATGTTTCAGCCACAGAATATCAGTAATAGCCAATCCGAATTTAGTGTTGTGCTGTTGTTATCACATAAGTGCTGCACAAATCACTAAGATAAATACTCATTTTATTACCATTTCAAACGGGTTAACACCTAGTGAAGCATGTAATAGCATAAACTAATGCCTCTTAGTCATGTCCTGATATGTTTTTCTTTATCTGTCCCCCACATTGATGTTTTACTGAAACCTAACTAAAACTGTAAAACTCACTTTTTGCTGAAGTTTTCCTATTTGTTTCCCTCAATTATATCAAATTATTTCAGACAAGTTATCAACTTAGCTCTTGTTATTAGATAGACCCTGCCACTTGTAACCGCATCTGCATGCTGTTCTTACTAATGTACCTTGTTCATATCCGTACCTCAACATTTAAATAAACTGATAAACCACTTATGTTTTATTTTCGAATTAGTGTTGACTCCACAGTTTTATTTGATGCGTAAACGAGTGCATATTGATGTAGTTCCAAAGACTCCGGAAGGAGGACATATAGACTTTCGACAAATTTCTGCAGACGAAATTGAATTTGACTCGGAAATAACAATAAAGTCATCACTGTTGCGCGAATGTAAGCCAGGCAATATTTGGTTTGAGGAAGGTGATTCAGATGACGACGATAACAAGTAAGAAGCATATTGTTCTTTCAAGTTTTATCAGGCCAAAATTCGTTGCTCGTAAATCTATGGATCTTCGTAAAATACGTTCAGAAAAGGATAGGTTCCAAGCCATCTGCTCTAGTCCTATGGTGGACTCTCGACCTCGAAGACTAAGTTACTCAAAGTCTTTTAGTGAGGGTGTGTTGAATCCCAGCAACTCCAAAACTCCATTACGTTTGCCTAAATACGATGATCTTGTTTCATCAGCATCTCGTCGCCTCTCCCGCATAATTATCAACCGTCGATTCTCTTTGTTGGAAACGAACCACAACGACCCATCTGCTGGGAGTTCGCAGTTAAAAACCACAACACCTATTACCAAGTACGAAAGGCAAAGAGTTAAGAAAAAAAGTTCGTCAACTTCAGAAGAGTAAGTCAATGAAATACTTTGTATAAGTCTATTTATTTTTATTTGTTGACTTTCCTGCCCAGTCATATACTAAGTTATACCTGGTCATTATATTAATAAGTGATTTATACTACCTGAAGATTAAGCATCCAGCCAAATTCAACTACATTAAAATTACAAAATGTGCATTAATTCAGGGTACTGCACTTCTGATCGTCGTAATAAACGAACGTAAGAAAAAACGTTGATAAAATTCAGTCTTTTTAACATCTTGAGTAACATTCCCAAAATATTTGAGTGTATCTTCGTCCCTCTAGATATGAAATGGTTCTTAATACTTGAAAATGGAGACATATTAGATAATAGTAGTCAGTAGTTGAAGACGTCGACTGACGTAGCTCGTTCTCTTTAAGTCTTGAGTTTAATGTTTCTCCCTACTTTCCAACCTGCGATTTTATTTGTTCTTTTGAACTTTACTTCATGTTTAGCTTCCCCATCCGAGTCGATATTTCCCTTCCAAAGCTCCCTCATACTTCTAACTTCCTTCCCCACTGTACAGATGTAAGTTGCTGTAGTTCAGACTGATACACATTTGTACCGCTTCATATGTCTTCTACATTGACTGACTCAGGAAAATAACTCGAACAAGTCAGATAAACACGGAAATAAGAATGACGAGAAGTCTAAACATGAAACGAACAGGTTTATATATGCCAAACTATTCTGACTTTAGAGAAAAATAAGAAAGCATATCAAATTCGATTTGTCCCCAAATATTGGTTTCTGGCATCAAATGGATACCTGACCCTAAATCTACGATTCCCTTACACAGCTCAGATTAATGATCAGCCGCTTAATGAACTAGTGCAATGTTTTCGCCCTTACATTCCACTAACGATCGTACCGTAGTAGTGTAGAAATATTACTAAGTCCTGTAATACTGGCATCTTATGGTGCAATCATTGCCGATTCACCAGTTACCCTTTTTTCCTCATAGAGTACTTATATGAATCCTAGTTACATTTTAATAACCTAGGTATTTATTTATTTAAAAACAAACATCAGTACAAAGGGGCATCAAAATGTATATGCATCACACGGTAAAAATGAAATTGTAAGGAAATAAAGAAAATATGAATATGATAAAAAAGAGGTATAATTGAATGTAAATTAGTGTATGAGAGTGAAAATAATGATGAACATAATGATAATAATATTATTACTATTTCCATCGCTTTTTACTCTGAGCAATCTGATAATGTCATAAGCCACTCTGTCGCACTATTTCCTAGGACCCCTACCAAGGAGTCATGAAGGACCAACAGATGTCAGTCCTGTACAGTCAGTCACAACGTATAACTTCGTACGTACGTACATCAGCTCGAGTTGCCATACCAAATTAGCACCGAGATGAAGTTGTTGATTCAAATCCTATATTGGTAGAAGTAGTAAGAGTATAAGCATGTGAAAGCTTAGGGTTTGAAGATGTTATTGAAGTAGTATAATCCAGTGAAATAAATTTGGAAAGAGAAAAAGGATAGGGACATGAAGAACTCAAAAGGTTAGAATTTGGTAGAACACAAAGAGTGGATGCACCTTCGCCATCGCAAACGATTTTGAGGCATGTCATTCAAGGTCTCTAACCATCGGTTGCTATCATCTCGCGAATCCCAACCAGGTAGTCTACACCTACCAACATGGCTCAGTCCAATTGTTAGTGACTTTATGGATTTGTGCCATGTTTTGGTTTGGCCGCCCCTAGCTTTCTTCCAACCTAATCTTACACCATGGAACATTGCACGTCTGGGTAGCCGGTGGTTGGGCATACGTAACACATGTCCCAGTCATCTCAACTGAAGTTTCACTACTTCATCAGTCCTGTACAGCTTTCTTTCATACTACAACACGATGTCTTACATTGACCACGTCTCCGCCTTTTCCAACTGGTCACGGCATCGACAAATAACGCAAAACGTGGAGTTCACTGGGACGACATTCGTAAGACATGTCCGAGCCATTAAAGTTGATGTTCCAAGACAGTTACATCGATTGAAATATCGTCTCTATGCCCGAACACACGATGCCGGACCTCTTCTTTACTAACATGGTGTTGCTATTGAATGTCGGCAATCCTTCGGAGACAACTATGATCAAACACAGAGAGTTGTCTAGCATCCTCATTTCAGAGAGGCCAAATCTCACAAGCATAGAACAAAACTGCTCTCACCGACGCGTTATAAATTCGACCTTTTACAGCCAGATTAACATCACGAAGGCGCCAAAGATGGCCCAGATTGGCAAAGCCTATCTGGCTTTCACTATGCGTGAATCAACCCCATCACTCGCGCCACCAACACTTATGCAGCTACCCAGATACACGAACTCCTCCGCTACTTCTATCTACTCACTACCCAGGGTGGGTGCAGGATCAGGGTCCTGCCAGTCTTGTAAGATTACTTTGCACTTGGAAGTTGCAAAGTACATACCATACCTACGGACACGGATTGCATGACTAGGGTATTGTCGCACAGTAAGACAATATCATCAGCATACTCAAGGTCTAGAAGTCTTTTTCTAGTCAACAGATCCACACCACCATTACCTACATCTATCACAGCTGTTTCCAGAACGTCATCAATGGCAAAGTTGAAAAGAAATGGTAAGATTGGTCAACCCTGTCTAGCCCCACTGCCTCAATGGAACTGTGAAGAGGTGGTCATATGTCCTTACTCTGTCTGAGGTGTTTGTATATCGAGTTTTCAAGATGTTAGTCAACTTCTAAGGCACACGCCTCCTCAATAGACAATTCCAGAAAACAGTGTTTCCCTAATGTCAAGAAACACTGCCGTTGTAGGCCTGTAATAAGTATGATAGTGTTCTAACATTTGGCCGAGGGTGAAGATATGATTAATACATCTTCAATCAGAACAAAAACCTGCCTGCTCCTCGCGAGCCAATCTTTTCCGGGTTTTGAATAATCCCAACAGTATCTCCTACTTTCACATGGTGGTCCGGTTTGCCTACTGTGACGACTCAACCGAGCCATATTGGTTGGAACATATATCATTTTAGTTCCTACTATGCCAGGCAGGCCGGCTGGTGAATTGTAAGACTAAAAGTAGCAACTTGAGGCCCGAGGGCGAAGTTGTATTGCTGACTGTAGAGGGGCGTAACAGCAGTAAGGTGTTTCCCTCGAACAACCAGCGTCTGAAGCGATGCTACCTTTTCACAATGAGAGGAAGGGGTTGGAAAAGGTCTACCCTAGAAATGTCACACCCCAACTTACCCCACAGATTTCTGTCTCCGGAGATAAGGCCTTTTGAAGTGTGGGTTTCTCCCATCAAAAACTTCTCATAAGAAGACTGGGCAACTGGACTCAAACGCTTGCTTCTTGGGCTCTGTGGTCACGCTCTCAGGTCGTTAAGACCACCACTAGTTCAGCTTCTTTTTCAAACCCCTCAAGAAGAAATATACTTTCACGGCGTGGGAAACTGGGGATTGAAAATCGCCTTCATTCTTCCATCAGCACCTGAGATCATCTTGTCGGCAATCGAATCCCTTCTTTACCTCTTAATAGTTCTTCTATGCCCACGGGAGACCAGTTAGTCAGTTAGCTACAATGTAGGACCAGACACATATATACACCAGTCCAAGTTGCCATACCTCATGAGTACAACAAGGTGAACACCAAATTAATAGTAGTTACTTCAATGGTAGTAAAATAAACATTTCACTCCTTCATTTAAACACATAAATATTGGTACAAGAAAGCACCAGATACATATGCGCCGCACAAATTTCATTCGATTTGTGTGAGGGCTGTGCCCAAACTGAAGCAGGTGAAGATAAATATTTCATATAAGGACATTATCCAGAGAGAAAGAATTAGTTCTTAGAAAAAAAGGTATAAAGTAATTTTAATCTCACGGTTTAAAGGGAGACAAAGAGTGCATACACCTACTCCATTGTGATCAATTCCCAGCCATGTCACGAATAGTCTCTAACCATTCGCTACGACAGTCGCGCGGACTCCAACCAAGTAGTCTGCATCTACCAACATGGCTGAGACCAGAAGTGCGTGACTTTATGAACTGATATCACGTTTTGGAGACTAATGCTAATGGTTTGAGTTCATGAAATGTTATTTCCAGTTTCCTGAAACCACACTCAAAACTACGTGTTTGAGCTCTTAGTGTTCTAACCTTGTGTCAGATAGGGAAACAGTCTTTAGATAGGACTCTAAAATCTCGCACCATTGATGTATGTCACTTCTCCGAAGCGCGCACACAGGACTCAAGTGCGGTCATCTATTTGACCTCACCCTGTCAATATGAAGAACGGGCACTATTTACCCTTTAGAGGGTCTGGGGGACCCTAATGCTCTTCCCCATGGCCTTCCTGGTGTAGGTCGAGCATTAAGTTATGCAGTAGGACAGGCTCTGTTAGATTGGATCCTAATAGATAGTCGCTTGTGCGCTTTTCGACCAAATGGAACAGTACGAACTCGAAAAGATGGGGTCATACGCCTTTGCCTTTTTGTTGTCTCTGCCCAAGCCTCCAATGTTTGCAGCTCGGACGAAGTTAAAGATGAATTTCATAGGAAGCTATCCAACCTCCTTCAAAAAGCTAAGCGCTCTGAAGAAGTAACAGTTGTAGGTAATTTTAATGCTCAATTAGGTAGACTAAACTAAACCAAACTAAAAGGCACTTAGGCGGATCTTATGGTGTTGCGACTTAGCGAACTGATAATGGCAACCGTCTGTTGCAACTATTCTCAGATGACCATCTATTTCTGATAAACACCAACTTTAAACGTAAGGAGAGATATCATCTGACTTGGCGATGAACTCAAATGGATCACATTGTCACTAACTATCGTTGTAGGGGCTCGATAGTAGACCGTCGGTCATTCTAGAGCAAATATTTGGACTCGGATCATGTTATAGTTCGAGCATATATTTGTCTGCGTCTTACTAGACGTAGAAAAGCCACAGCAAGAAAACTCCTTCGATTTCAGCTCAATGACAAAGTTAAAAATATATTTCAGGAACAACTAGATAGAGTTAGTCAACCGTGAAAGTGATGTCCACCCCGAGGTAACTGTGGAGACAGCAGTGATATCTACTTGTAACCTAAACCAAAAGGTCATGGGAAGGCATTGAATTTCAGCGGCGTCTACGGAACCGATATACGTTCAGGAACTCATTCCGTCTGCCCTGAACACGATGAGGAGTCAAGACAGCTTAAACGTAGGCTGATAAAAAGCCTATGTAATGATAGTGGGTAGCGAAAGCAGAAGAGATGGAAAAAACAGCAGAGATAGGTAACAGTAAACAACAGTTCAGACTTATCAAGGAAACAGGTATTGAAAATCCGACAGTTAGCAAAGTTATTTCGAAAAAAACTGGACTATTATTCACTCTCAATCCAAGAAATTGAACCGATGAACAGAAAAATTTATGGGACAGTCCAACTGGCCTTCAACCACACCTCAGGTACCCACTGTCTCCAAGCAACCTAATTGGTGAGTTGATGTAGGTCTTCCAACTGTTAGTGAGGTTGAAAAGTCAATAAGTAATCCAAAGCGAGAAAGAGCAGCAGGGCCTGGTGGTCTTTTACATTTTTAAGGATGGTAATCCAGTTTTAGCGGTTAGATGAACTGAAATCTCAGCTCAAACCTGGGATCTGGACGTAATCCCATCTGACTAGTCTCGACCCCTGATGGTCCCAGTTCCTAAGAAAGGACGATCACAGAGGAATCAGTTTGACTAGTATGGTGTCTTAAATATTAGGCTCAATAATGCTTCGACGCCTAACCAAAGCTCATGAAGAGCAGACTAGAGAAAACGAGGCTGGTTTTCTACCTGGACGTTGTTGTATAGACCAGATATTCACACTACGTCAGGTCCTAGAACATAGACACACATTCAAACGCCCCACAACAGTAGTATTTCTCGACTTAAGGCAACATTTGACTCTGCTGATCGTGAGGTACTTTGGAAGTGTCCATCATTGAAAGGCGTACCAAAGAAGCATATTAACCTTGTACAGGCTCTCTACTGGAAAAAAACTGGTCGAGTCAGATTTTATGCTTAATTGTTGTCGGAAGTGACTACTTCGAGCGGTGTTCTTCAAGGTTGTCTGTTTTCCCCATTTCTATTTAACTTTGTCAGAAATAACACACATCGTCTCACTGTCTAGGGATTGATTTTTGCCACGAGATTCACTTGTTGACTTAAAATATGCAGGTGATATAGTTTTGTTTGGTGAAGACGCTGACAGAATGCATTCTTACCACCTTAGGCAACAATACCAGGATGTTTAGAATGGGGTTCTCTGTCTGTAAACTGTGACGAATAAACGCAGGATATACTTTCTTCTGAAGCGAGGAAATCTGGTTTTTAACTAAAAAAAATAGACGTAGTGATGAAGATTAATCATTTTATACATTTCTTTATCTACCATATTTATGCATTAACTAATTAAATTGGATAAAGGCTAATAACGTTAGGTCTTGTGTGTTTTCCCAATCAATCTGCTTCCAGATTTAACAGCTGCCTGGTTAAAGAAGGCTTAATTATAGTTTGTTTTTTACTGGTCGAGTGAATTTGTCTATACGATTGTTATTGAAATGGCTTTACGTTCACTCTGTAACCAAATAAAAGAATATGTCTTCGCGAAGTGTTTTTGATATTAAGTTATGTATATGAGAACCAATAAATACCTTATAAAATTTCAGATCAGTAATATTGTCCAAGGATTTAAGTAATCATATAAAGACACGAATTCCCCTTCTCTCATGGGCTTATCTCAAGTACTAAAGTTTCTTGTAGCACCAAATTATACGTTACATGCTTTTTGAAAATAAATGAAGTGACATTAATATTTTGTGTTTGAATATGTATGGTGACTTAATGCTTTAACTCATGTTCTTTTACTTAGAAAAGAGAATATCAAACCATCAAATAACGATATCATAACAGCTACTTCTGTATCAAAAGAAATTTTTGATGATGTTCCAAACTCTTCCGTCCATGATCCATGCTCTGTCTCTGAATTTCGTGTGCTTGCAGATATGGAAACAGCGCGACTACTTGCGTTATGCGGAGATTGGAATTGTGTTCTATCCGAGGAATGTGATAATATCCCGGAAAAAGGTGGGGGTTCAATTTTTACGGACGTATATTTTTTACCGATCCTGTTTTGTCTTTTTTTCTTATAATTTGTTTATAAATACCTAAAATATTATAAGAAATAAAACACCTTACACTAGACTTTTAGTCTCTAGTTCTCTAGTTTTAACTCCTCTCCTATTCGCTTTGGGATGCTGAGCAGTATTATTAGCTCTCACACAAACCATTTAGCTCAAAGCTGGGTACACAGATCTTTACTTGATACGTAAGTTGTATCAAGAAAGACACATTGTACGCATAAACTATATAAAATTTCAATCTTGTTCAAATGAAGCTGGACAGATTAGTTTGAAAATATACCCTCTAGTTAAAACTAGTATTGTTATAGTCACATCAGATTTCTGTTGTTTTGTATCCAAATTTTATCTCTGAATTACAAGCTTCTAAATTCACCTCTTGTGTATGCGGGGTTTTTTGTTGTCTGCAAATCCTGTATGTGATAAAACGTGATCTGACTACGCATCACCTCACTAGTACAGTTATGTGAATTCAATCTAATCTATATGTAATCCATTAATCTTATTTAATTCCCTCTACCCTCTATTTGTGTAAAATTCCTATCATTATCGCACTATTTCATTATTAACAGTAAATGAATTCAAAGTAGTTTAATAGCCACGTACAGAATATACGTAGATGACAATAAACTATGCATGTTATGTAAGGGATTAACACTAATCGAAGGTTAAGTGCCTAAAGTGAGCTATTGAAATTTTTGCACAAGGAACTAACAGTTGAAATGAGGTCTAATAGATTACTGTTAGTAATTATGCTGAAGTTGTCTGCACATTTTCTGTTGTTGTTCTTTCTGACCCTATATTTACTTGTCATACCTTTCATTAGATCATAGATCTATTCTATCTTCATATGTTTATGAATCAGCGGATGACCTAAGTGATAAGCTCCTTAAACTTTACTTGTCTTGATGTTGCCTCTGTTCACTATTTCAACGTATTCTCATTCGAATTCATGTTCACGATTGCCCACGTTCATTGTTATGAATTAGTATATATCGTGACGTCTGAAATTATGTTGATATTTATGAAAGTGAAGAGGGTGGCAACTTGGTTGGATCTAATATTTGTGGATAACATTTACTTGAGAACAGTTTTGTTGGTGTTTGATTATGAACTAGACAATCTTAAGTACTGTTAGAGGTATGAGATCAGTTATCACTTCCTGGCTGTCCATACCGTAAAAGGATACTTCTTAAAGTAACTGAAAAAAGGAACTGGGTTAGGAGTATGATCTTGACACCCTGGGAGCGTGACAACTATTTGAAACTAGTCACATGGCATTTTTCCGAGTAGTTTCAAATGAAATAGCTCAGTAATTTTAAGGCTTCTCTCTCGACGGAAATTTATGAGTCAGGGTGGTGTGCTATTCTTAGGACCGACCTTTTTAACCCTCTCTTCCTGTTGGAGGAAGGTAGCATCGCTTTAGATAACAATTGTCTAGGAGAAAAATCGTACTGGCATCACACCCTTATACAGTCGGTAGTATGACTTCTCCCTTGGACTATTAGTTTGCTACTCTTAGTCTCACTGCTCTTCAACCAGCCCGCTTAATATTGTAGGACCTAAGGGAACAAATATTTTAGGCGATATAGCTCGGTTGGGTCATCAGGACATCCAAGCCTGACCACCATGTCAAGGTAACAACTACAGTCAGGTAAAATAGTAAGTAAACAGGCTAACTTAACGGCTTCGTATTATGATATCACTGTTCCAACAATCCATTAGTCATATCTTGGTTAGTTACATATCATTCTTAGTAATAATGAATAATAGAAAGTGATGGTATCGATTTCACCTCATATCGTTGTAGTTCTTAGGCCTTTTTTCTCACTAATTCTTGTGATAAAGTGGATTGGTGTGTTTTTGTGAGAAAAGTGGTGCTTAAATAAGTATATTTTTAACCTAAACAATTTTATATCATTTAAGTGTGATGCTTTCTAACTTCACTACTTTACCTTTCTTTTCGCATACATAGCACTCGACTCTATCAGGGCAACCGTTGGGAAATGTCAATTATTGTTACAGAAAAAGTTGCCATTTTTCAAAACCCTAATTGAAATGGCAGAAACAAGCCTTGGGAAATCTGACACACTGTCGAATAGTGCAACAGCACCAGAAGCCACTATAAATGATCTCTTGGGTTATTGGACCTTAGTAGCTGATGAAATCAGTTTATCCGATAGTGCTTTCGAACGTCTACGTGTTTGGCGTGATGAATTACATTGGTCAATTGATCAGTGTCCTGTTACCCCAGCCAGATCACAAATTGTTAAACGACGCGGCCGTCCATCTAAACAAATAAAACGTTTACCAACTCCAAAGAGTAGTAAATCCAGAAAGTCTCAGTCTGTTAGCGATGAAGTTCTGAATACAGACAATGTAAATCCCTCTCTTTCAAAAAAGCTGGGTTCAACTGTTAAAGCAAACAAGGTATTGATTTTGTCGTTTGTTCACATTAAATGGTTCATCTACATCGTTGAGTTGAATCCCGGATATTCCAATAAAAATTCTCCACATCATTTAGATATTGATACTGTATATTCATAAGTACTAGGTATTCTCATTGCTTTTTAAAAAAAGTAATACCATACGGAATCATGTTACTACGATTGCTTTACTGAAATGATGTTTAATGATTGTATGGACATGTATGCTTAACCACTTATTATTATGTCCTGCGATGATGTGAAAAGTTAGCTAAAAGCATAACCTTTAGTTCTCACACTGACCGTGGTAAATATTAGCTTAAACAACTATTCTTCACTCCACAGACTGTCATCTTTTAGTCTTCTAGGGTCTCTATTTCCTTCAGTTATTCTCAGCATCAGTAGGTAATTGTCAATATGAAAACTTAGTTGACTCGTAAATGTTGATCGTATGCATGACGTAAAGCAACATTTCATCTGGTAAATAAAGATCCTATTTGATTACGTAACTGAACCTAAATATCACGAGGTACTACCGAATAATAATAATACTTCGGTGATGACAAAACACAATGATTAAACTCCATTATGTATGTTGGATGCAGGAGAAATTCGCATTTTGCATGGAGTTATTTATCCGTTCTCTTAAAACTTTAGAGGTGATCTTGATTGGTATTTATTAAGTCGCCTTCCGCTATCTGAATCTCATTCATAAAAACATACGTATCATCTTCCAGTTAACAGGTTTAAACCATCGCCTGATACTTCGTTTGAATCTATGTTTAGGATCTGTTATCGTTGATAAAATTAAAATAAAATGACTAGACCCGGTAACTGTTTCTCTTTGTTGCTGAATTTCTGAAATAATGGATAAAAATATATCTCTATTTCACCTCTTCATGTGTCAAATTATATGTCCTTTGAAGAAAGCGATCAACTCCTTATGAAACCCTTCTAATGAACTGTTCTTTCTACACAAGTTACATCCTCCATAGAGTAATGCAAGATGATCTAAAATGTACGCCATTAAAAAATCGGATATACCTAAATGCAATAACACTAACATGTATGGGCGTTGGCTAAATTTCTATGGAACTGTGACATTCATACTAATGAATTATTGAGTTGTAACATACGTCATGCTCAGATCTTAGCTGTAATTGAACTCCATCAGTCGAATTGTAATATATCCTGTGGTCTAAGTAACCCAATGTTACGATTTAATGGTTATGCTATCCATTTTCCGATTTTGATACTGATACACAAGTTTCTATACGTAAGCCAAACCAACTACTTGAGTGAGAAAACAGCTTTTATTGACTAACCGAGTTAGCGTTCATGTATGCTCATCCATATGTGTGTCTATCCGTTAGGAAATTAAGCCATTAATGCAGTATACCTCATATTTTGATAACTTACACTTATTATTTGGCGATATCCGACCAACCCAATGTATCGTAGGTTTGATGCTTGATGAACATAGGTAATGAATGAATTCTTTGATCCTAGACATCAGTCAGTCACAACGTAGAACTTCGTACGTACGTACGTCAGTTCAAGTTGTCATACCACATTAGCACAGAGATACTATTGGCGATTCAAAACCCATAGTGATAAAAGTAGTAAAAGTATAAGCAGTAATCCGAAAGATTAGGGTTTGAAGATGTTATTCAAGGAGTATAATCCAGTGAAATACATTTATAAAGAGAAAAAAGGATAGGGACATGAAGACTTCAGAAGATTAGAATTTGGGAGAACAAAAAGAGTGGATGTACTTTCACCTTTTCAAACGATTTTAAGCCATGTCTTTCAAGGTCTCTAACCATCGGTTAATATCCACTCTTGAATTCCTACCATGTAGTCTACACCTACCGACATGGCTAAGTCTACTTGTCAGTGACTTCATGGATTTGTGCCACGTTTTGGTCTGGCCGCCCCCAGCTTTCTTCCAACTTACTCCTACACCATAAAACATTACACGTCGGGGCAGTCGGTGGTTGGGCATACGTAACATGTGTCCCAGCCAGATTTCCTACAGCTTTTTCAACGTCGTAAAAAGGTGGATGACTAACATTAACTTGCCATTCAGGCGGACTTGGGATTGTGGGGAAACGAAGTGTGGCTGAAAGCCCGTTAAACTAATCCCTAAAGTGTTCTGCCCTGGATTCAGAATGAATAATATATCCATCTTTTTCCGGGATAGTTTTGCTGACAGTTGGATTCCTAATACGGTTTCCTTAACAAGTCTGAACAGTTGTCTGATGTTTCCACTACCTTTTCCATCTCTCTTGCTTTCGCTACCCACCATTGTTCGCGATCATTGCGTAGGCTTCTTATTATCCTGCGCTTAAGTTGACTCTGCTCTTCGTTACATTCAAAGACAGATGGGATGAGTTTACGAGCATTTATCAGTGTGGTAGATGATGCTGAGATCCAGTGTTTCTTCCTAATCTTATGGTTTACCGTACTAGAGGATATCACTGCTGTTTCCACAGCTTTTCGGATGTCATTCCACGCTGCCTCGGGGTGGGCACAACTTACATGGCAACCTAACTGTTTTCTAGTTGTTTTTGAAATATATTCTTAGCTTGGCTATCATTAAGTAGAACCCTAAGAGGTTTCCTTACAGTGTTTTTCCTACGTCCAATAAGACTCAGACAAATACGCGCTCGCACTAGAGCATGATCTGAATCTAAAGATGTGCTCCAGAATGAGCGATAATCTTCTATCGAGCCCCTCCATCTGTGGCTGATAGCGACGTGATCTAGTTGGGTCCAACGTTGGGACGAATTTGGGGGCCGCCATGTCAAAAGATGATTTTCCTTGTGCTTAAAGTTAGTATTTGCAAGAAACAGGTGGTTATCTGAGCATAGCTGCAACAGACGGTTGCCATTATCTGTTCTTTGAGCCACGACACCATAAGATTCACCCAGGTGTCTTTCATTTTCGCTTAGTTTACCTACTTGAGCATTAAAGTCACCAGCTACTATTACTACATCAGGGCGCCTAGCTTTTCGGAGAAGGTCAGAAAGTTTTCTGTAAAACTCATCTTTTATATCATCTGAACTGCAGTCAGTGGGAGAGTAGGCAGAGACAACGAAGAGGCAGCGACGAGTTTCCCTATCTTTCCGAGTCCTTACTGATCCGTTTAGTCGGACAGCGCATAGACGACTGTCTACTGAGATCTAGTCTAAAAGAGCTGAACCTGCCCTCGGACTCAATGCTATACCTACTCCAGCGAGGCCACATGAAGCAGCATCAAGGCTTCCAGATACACGAAGCGTGAATCGAGATGGATCTTTATTTTGACATGGTGAGGTCAAATGAATGATACTAATCGGATCATGTATGCGCGTTTCGGAGACCCAGCACACATCGATGGTGCGAGATTCTAAAGTCCTAGCTAAGGAGGCCTGTTGTCCAGACGTTGAGAGCTCCCACATGTAGTTTATGAGAGTGGTTTCAGAAGATCAGGGCCTTACCACCGGAGACGGAAATCCGTGAGTTAAGGTGAGACGTGACATTTTTAGGGTTGACCTTTTCTAACCCCTTCCTTCCTTGTGAGAAGGCAGCAGATGCTGGTTGTCAGAGGAAAGCATCTTACTGCTGTCACATCCCTTTACAGTCAGCAGTATGACTTCGCCCTCAGACCTTGAGTTGCTGCTTTTAGTCTTACCGTTTTCCAACCGGCTTGCCTGGCATGGTAAAACCTACAGAAACATATGCTCCAGCCAATATACCTCGATCGGGTCATCTCGATTGCAAAGCCCGACCACTACGTCTAGGTAACAGCTACGGTTGGGATCCTAGATATCATGTGTGTTGATATTCATTGACAGGGTTTTGTCGACAGTTTTGTTCACTCCATTATTGCAAGGCTTTAACATGGATATTGTTTTTTTGCCCCTAACATTCTCGATTCAAGGCTTTTAATATCTCTGTTCACAAGTTTTCAACTATAATTTAGTTATGATATGTTGTCAATGGTATAGAACCATGGTATACAATTGGTGTTTTATGTGATAAAACTGCCACATATGTTATCCAGCCATAAGTAAAATATATAAAAACATACCATGCGAAATAGAGTCCATGTAAATTCAGTTGTAAAATGTTCAGTATACTGTGATTTCTGTGTAAAATTAATGAAGATGTTAGGTGGCACTAACAATGCATTTGAAAGAAAACGGGTAACTCCTTATTACTATATGAGAAAGAAATACACCCAGATCTCGGTAAACCACTACTGTTTAGCGCATTATTAAATGTAAATGTTTCCAATTCATAATATGATCTTGTTGACTCAAAAGTCAAAATTTTCACTCAACGTTTTTTGGGGAATTAAAGGATGTACAGAAAAAACCGGTGAAGTCCAGATTTGCTGAATTTCTGCGAGCTAAAAAGGCACTAACAGCGGAAGGTAAGCACAGTGTCTATTTCTTTTATTTGCGTTCATTTGTAAAACTGTTTCTGTTCGAAAGTTGTTTTGTTCAGCTCTTGTTGCTCTTTCTTAGACCTAATAAGCGTGCTTTCTTCAATTGCTTATAATCTTTAGAACGAATTGTAGTATATTCACTTATCTTACCAACCTATCAGGTTTTTATTATTGGTGTAGGAGATTTGTTGAGATTGTTCAATCCATGGATCACAGTGTAGATTGACTTCAGTTAAACGACCATTAAAAACCGAGAAGCACTGGACGGGTGTCTGCGATGTCAACTAAGGAGAATTGAACTATATACACAAACTCCCTTCACTAACAATACTCACTAGTGAATAACTTTGAAAGCGAATTGCCAGGATTCTTGTCAGAAACCGTGATCAATGGAGTTCAACCATAGTAGTTGTGAGACAACGATCACTAATGACATTCGATTGTGGTCGTACAATAGCGCGAATTGACTGAAGTTAGAAGTTCGTACCATTGAACGTCGACCCATTGATCTGAAGGTTTATTGCATACCATAAGGCCTCCAGGTCCCGATTTCGATCTCTGGTAGAGTCAAGGATGAGTGAAAAGGCTGTTCAGTGCTTCTTACTTTGAAATGGTTATCTAACTAATCAGTCTGTGTTTGTAAACTATAGCTTTTTATCAGCTGATATTAAGGTAGATGTTCATTCTGACTATTCACCTGTAGACATTATTCTGAGTTTTTAAGCCGAATTAGAAAGCATATTTGCATGTAATTTGGAAAATAACATTGTTATGGTCTTCGGCTGTTAATTTAAAAAAAAAACAGGACAGACATTCTTTGTCTGGATCCCAATAGACAGTTCCCTGTATTCCGTTCGATCAAATAATTCTGTGACAAATCTGAGATAAGGATGCACGCCATCGTCTGCCTACGCCTCCACTGATCACAGCCTTGTTTAAGTAAGAGATAAGTTCTATGAGAAACCCTCTGAACTCTTCCGTGAGGCTGCACGCTCGGGCGTAGTATTCAAAGTTGGTGTTTTTTATATCCGAATTGGTAGGAAGAGTCTGTCTGAAAAAATATGTCTAGTGTAGTTTCTCAACATCTGAACCAAAAAAATAGATAGTTATGACCCTCTGTTTTAGTTTCGCTCAAACAACCGCTTAGTACTGGTAAACACCAACTTCAAGAATGGGAAGAGACATTATCTGATATAGTGACCCCTCAATATTTACTCAACTAAACCCGGAGAAATCGCTACAGGAGGACCTTAGTTTGAAAATGAAAATGTCTACATAACAAGGAACTAGCTAAACACGTATTCAGTCATGAAGGTAATGCTAATCTCCAATCAGCTAGCTGTATATTCATCGGCTATATTTTGTGAGTAACTTAAGTTAAAAGGTTAAAAAGTGCCAGCGAATTTCGAGAACATTTATAACCAGTGAGTTTTTTAACAAATCGGTTGATGGGACTGTAAATCTTTATCTACTGAAGTGACTGGGACCCGTTGCATATTCTCAGTCACTCCCTATCCCAAAGGTCAGTATCGTCTGATGTAAGAGCCGTTTAAGGAAAAGCCAGGATTGGGCAAATTAAAACATGTTTTAGTTTGCAATTTCATTGTCCATCGATCAGAGTGGCTTCGGGACGTGCAAATTTTCGGGTTAGGACTTAAAAAATAATTGTTACCTATGATTTTAGATGTTGAGTGACATTGCCCAAAATCAAGCTGCGGTGACGCATATGCTTTCATTTTTCTTTTGTGTATCGCAATTTCCAATGTTATTCCAGTCTTCTAGTTCACGAATTCAATCCTTCTTGAACCATGTTTGATTTTCCTTACCATCAAATTGATATTACCATTATTACGAGTAACTGGATAAATTCAGAACACTTGCATTTACCCTACTACCGTGGAATCAATCTGAAATAGTTTATTTTGGCCAATTAATAAAATCTTCATTTCCATGTCAAAGAATCTCTTTATCCACTGATAAGTTGGTTTTCGTATTGTGTCATTCCATGATTTACTACTGTATCAAAAGAATCCATAGTTTTGATATGTCTTTCATCTGCACTGATTTTAGTTTTACAATTTCGATGTTTCCCAATCAGAATTTACAAACGATTGACTACAGAACAGTAGTGACTTGTCTGGAATCTTGAGGAGACCGCTGTTTCTCCCTGGGGAGGTGTTGGCTATTCAAACCCAACCAACTTCATAGTCGGAGATGTTATCACTCAGTTGCTCGTGCAGCTGCTACGCCTTGTTGACTAGTGTCCAACTAGTACAAAACGTAATTGAGACAGGATTTCCCTGTCGATTACCTCTAACCGCTTAACCAGTCAGAATTATTACAATTCACTGTGATACATTATCACCGCCACTAACTGTTCAGTTTTAGTAATAAATGTTGGTGCGTGTTTCATCATTAAGGTAAATCATCTTAGTTTATACTTATCCCTGATTAAATCTTGACTACTTGTTTTCGAAGTTTGGACTTTTTGAACTTTCATATATAAAGAGGGTTTTTTATGCATAGGTTATCTGTACTTTTAAACGTTTGAATTTTATATTCTTGTTGACAAATTTTGATGGATACCCATTATCGATGAGTTTTTGTAAAGAGGTTCAATTCGTCACCTGTGGCATCGGTAACTGCAAATTCTTTGTATTCGTATAGCAAAAAATATGATTAAATTTTCTCTTTCTCAAATTTGCGGTTAACTTCATTAACTGAGATAAAAAATGATCATGTATAGGTATCATTAAATACATAAGTTTTTATTCTATCCTCTTTTCCTTTATTCTCATTTCTCTACAGCGACATCTACTGATCATGGTCAACATCAATCTTATCAGCAAAGTGAAAATATTGTTGATGCACTCTCACCTCTTGGTTTACATCCAGTTGATAGGAATTTCACTATCCAAAAATAATAGAGAATTAAAAAAGAAGATCAACGTATATATTTTTTATTTTGACTGAATTGTACAAACAATTACTACTTATTTTACACTTGTTAGTCATGATTGTTAACTGACTGACTGACATTTTTGTAAACCAAAAATCTATCTCTGTTTCTTTTTCACACTTTCTCTTTCCATCAGTTTATTGTTCTCTTACTAAATGTTTATTCTTTGCTTTTTGCCTTGTTGTCGTTTATGTTATTTTTGGTTATTATTGTTACCATTATTGTCATTATTCTTATTATCATTACTGTTTATTGTTCATCCATACTGTTTTATTGATATTATGGTTTGAGTAAATCAGATATGTTAATATCATTAATATAAAAGTAAGTATACAATGAAATATACATTACTATTATATCATTATTTTCTGATCATTTACTAGGCTTTAAATTTGTATAGTAGTAGTAGTGATTGTAATATAAACAACGTATTCGAATGCCTATCACTATTTGTTTTAGTTAGAGAAACTTTACATTTATAGGAAAACATCTACAATGTACAACTTATGAAAATTTCGATAATCATACAAATATTATTATTGGTAATGATTGTTTTTATCTGACTTGAAGATTAACTAACAATATATCTAGATTTAGTTCTATAGATTATCCTATAAAATGTTCTGATGACCATTAAAAAAGTAACTGGAAAGAGAAAATGGTTAGAATTTTAAAGACAACCTAAGAATATGAATAGATTATTAAGAATACTTGTCTGATCTTTTCGAAAGTATGAAGTTCACGTACCATGAACTAGTTTTGATGAAAACATTCTTGCTACTTTTCTTTTATACCACCAGAAAATCAAGTATGATAATTCAAACAGTGTTTAGAAGCTAATAGAATAGATTATTTTCTCACAACTAAATGATAAGGCGGGAACGATCATGTTTGACAAAATAGTTATAAATCGAATAAGCGATTCAGTGAAAGAAAGGTACTAGTTAGTGGTATGAAATAGGTATTAAGGCATTTGCAAACATGTTTACATCACCTACACCAAAAGTGATACTGCTTTAGGGTTGTAACATTGAAGAGGAATGTAGTCGTACATTAACTGGCTACCAAGTACGTGACTCACGTTTATGAAGTATGACCCCTTGCTCCCAAATATGAAATGTCAGCACATTTCTTAAAATCGAAAGCTTACTTTCCTTTAAGCTTGTTGAAGAACATGATAAGCACGAGGTTATAAACCTCGGTAAGAACTTACATCTTCCTACTTGTGTTTGTGGGATTTCATCCTTGTTGCCATTTGGTAATGACAGTCTACTAGTATCAGTAATCACATTATATTAATAGGAATTCCAAACTATTGTCACATTTTCCTAACGTCGCGTAATTTAAAAGGTTATACTAAAGTCCAATACACAAACACGATATATGTGCTATCGCATTACAGGGTTTTGCTTATCAAAATGGAATGTTAATAAAGGCATGGATGGACTTCAATTTTTCTTAAATATGTGTAACTACTAACAAGTAGTTAGTGAATAATTGCAGAAGTTTGATCCCTACTAAAATTCACCACATACTATCTGGTTTCTGACCAATGAATTTTACCCCGAATGTAAAATTCTATCCAAAGTGTATATTTCTTTAGTAATGTCAATCGCAGAGTGTTGTGATTCATTTGGATCGGATAATAAGAAGGCTAGTTTTTTCAATATAATATATATGTTAGGATAAAGCATTTCGAACATTAACTAGTTGAAATATTTATACGAACTCAAAGCTTGATAAATAGGAACATATGAATAGAAAGAATAACAAGGAGAGAACAACATTGTTGATACCACAGGATTTTTCCCAAAATTCAAATGATCGACTTAATATTGGATACAAACGTCTTTGAACATGTAAAAGAGGTTTAAATATTCGTTTGACTTAGCTTTCAAAAAATCACCCTATTCTCACCGTCATACACTAATGTATAGATTGTTCCTAGGTTGGTTCTACAATGGATTTCTAATATATGTTTAACGATAGAAAAGAATGAAGGCTTGTCACCTACCCTTAGTTTGCTTTTGTAATCATTAACGTACTTGCTCAACTAGCATTAGTAGCATATCACGATTAGTCCTATCTATGTATGCGTTTCGACACATGTATATGTGAATCGACGAACATTATAGAATATTATACAATCTTTTATATACTGCTAGAATTTTTTAGTTAATCATAGAGTTTTTCAATTATCCTTATCTTGATAATGTAAAATACTTAAAATCGGTGTAGACACTTTCAGGTACAGTAGGCCTCAATATTTTACGATCTGTACTCTAGTTTATGAATTTTGATGGATATCGATTAGGCACTGTTACTTAAATGAAAACTTCCACTTCATCTAGATGCCGTAAATCAAGATAAGATAACTTGGAATAGGCTGATACACATTTGTTCCAAGTTTAACACTAAACTAGACCTGTAGAATGGTTTGTCTATATTCTATAGATGGTATTGAATTTTTGGATGTATGTACAAAATAATTTGTTGCAATAGCCTTTTCTGTCCTTTGTAATAGGTACATGATAACTTTCCTAAATAAACGAATAAGAAATTATCAGTTACTGATGGCTCTACAATGTTTCTAGTTGTTTTTTCCAAATGTCTGCTCTAAGATTTCAAGGCAAGTGAATTACTTCTGAAACAAATGACTGAAATTACAAAAAAATCCAATGCTAAAATCAACATTAGTCGATAAGGATGCAAATTGAAATCAATGAACTAAAGAAATCAACATCAAAGCACACAACTGTTAACATTTAACCATCTGGAAGGGAATAATCTTTAGTATACATTTTTCACTTATTCCAAGTCATCAAAGTTAGTAAATATTAATTTTCTAAATATCAAATAGCTTGTTATTTACTGAATAACATATAGATCTATCATGAGTGAATTAACCGTAGTGTCGATAGAAAAGTTTGACTACATCTCATAACAGTATAATTTCTAGTTCAAGGTTACGCAAATAACTCTCTACATTCAAGTCATTTTGAGACACTGAATTCTACTGTGTATATAACCTAGAAAAGAGTACTTTTATTTTTTTTCTATAATCATCGGTATGTAGTAATTAACGATGGATTATAAGAGAAATGCTAATTTATGTATTGTACTTTCTATCTTAATATGATATAATGACTTTTCATTATCTATTACATTCTTCTATCACCCCTCCCAATGCAAGAGAAAAACAAACAAATTCACGTGATTAGAAATTCGCAAAGTTTTAGTTATTTATTTTAGTAAAAATAAGAAATTCTATTCCTAATGTATGAACAGAAAATATGCATATCATTTAGATGCTAAATGAAGTGCCTAAAGGATAAATGTGTTCAATTATCTTATGCATATGAAAACGTTACACTAAAAATTCCACTTGGATATCACTATGGTGATTACTTTTTTTTCTTATCTGCATTCCTTTTTTTCAACAGAAATATTAATAATCTGAGACCTATATGTTGACTTTTTTCGACCTGATTTAACATATGACATTCGTTTCTCAATAATAACTGATGATTGGATAGTATTATTGTAAACATAAATGATTCTTCAAAATTTACAGTTAAATAGGTCATTCAATATTGATCCTGACTTTTTTTATAGTTTCAATAGACTTAATTAATTGAATGATCATCGTCTAGTGCCTACACTATTTATTCTTGAGTTATTCCTGACCTCAGACTCTTCTATCAGTCTTTGGACAGTTAGTCTAGAGTCATATGCGTCCACTTATGAACTCGACTAAATATGATATTTCTCACTACTACTGTTACTATTATAATCTTCTTTACTGCCTATCTGTTGGATCAACTTACATTATCTGAATACTGTGCGTAGAAGAGATAGGTACCAGCATCACGCGATTCTGCAACATTATATATATATATATATATCACACGAACAAGAAATTACTACTTTTCTCAACTGTCAATCAGAATAGAAATACAAAATGAATTATTACAAGAGATTTTATTAATCTAGTTCACTATACATGTGTTTATACAAGTAATCCATATGACCACTATGAACTACAATTGATAAGTTTTAATAGGTATATCATTAGCAAATCATGATGTTTTAAAGCATAAATGTTTCATTTGTAGTGGACTAACTGTTCGTTTTTTATCGATAAAATATATCAATGTTACTACTCCAATGATTATATCACTAAACTGATTATGGTCCAATCCAAGTGAGAAAAACGAGGTAACAAACAAAGATTTATTATCAAACCTTAAAGTCAATCAAAAATTGTGTTTCAATGCATTGAGTTTTATAACGCTGATTTACATTGATTAATAAATAAGTTTTAAATAAATTAATCTGTGTAGCACTGTGTGTTGGCTGACCAATAACTTACAATATGAATAGAATTTACAAATATCAGAAAACTAAAAGGTTTTAAAGAATAAACATAACTTATTTGTTAATATAAAAGGTTTACGCAGATTATCGAATGCTCTTAGTTTATTTCACTGACTGATTTTAGTTAGACAATCACTGAATACTAGGAAACATCAGGCATCTGTTTCTCCCAATCATGGGACTTCTCAACAGTGTGCACATATGACCCTTTACGGGATCGATTTCAGGATCACCAGTCTCACGATTAGCTCTTAACCTCCAGACCACTGAGTCGTCATCTAACGATGTGCATATCTAATGTCAATCTTCGAAAACCCTCTATATTAATAACAGTCATGTGTTCACTAACACCAACCCAATCACACTTGATGGCGAAACTCTGGAAGAGCTGGAAACATTCAAGTACCTGTGAAGCATCATTGATAAACAAGGAGGATCGGATGCAGATGTAAAGGTGAGGATTGGCCAAGCAAGGGCAGCATTCCTACAATTGAAGAACATATAGAACTCAAAACAACTCTCAACCAATTTCAAGGTGAGAATCTTTAATACGAACGTCAAGACAGTCCTACTGTATGGAGCTGAAGTGTGGAGAACTACTACGACCATCATCAGGAAGGTACAAGTATTTATAAACAGTTGTCTACGCAAAATACTCAACATCCACTGGCCGGATACTATCAGCAACAGCGTTTTATGGGAGAGGACAAACCAGCTTCCAAGTGAAGAGGAAATTAGGAAAAGACATTGGAAGTGGATCGGACATACTTTGAGAAAATCACCAATGTGCATCACGACTCAATCCCTAACTTGGAATGGTGAAGGGAAGCGGAAAAGAGGAAGGCCAGAGAACACACTACGTCGGGAAATAGAAGCCGATATGAAAAGTGTGAATGTTGACTGGAAAGAACTGGAAAGGAAGGCTCAGGACAGAGTTGGATGGAGAATGCTGGTGAGCGGCCTATGCTCCTCCACAAGGGGTAACAGGCGTAAGTAAGTAAGTAATGTGTTCACTAGTGATTTACTACTAGATGCTATTCCAGGACTCCCAGTCATAAGCTGTG